ATCATTACCCAGTACCAGCTCTGGGGTGACAATCATTACCAAATACTATCTCTGGGGTGACAATCATTACCCAGTACTAGCTCTGGGGTGACAATAATTTTGTCCATGCCATTTGTCTTTATTTTCTCAATTAAAATTGTAAACTTAAGTTAACAAAAATGTGTTCTGCCATGTTGAAAATCCAATAAGTTGTAGAGACCAAAAGTGTTTTTCAATTTCAACCCATTTTAGAACAAATAGGAAATTATTTTTAAAAAGTGCTAGGGTGCCAATATATCTGTCCGCAACTGTATATATTTTCATATTATGGGAACTGAGGTTTTCTTATTGGTTTGTAGAATTGTCCAAATGTCCTTGATGATGTACAGCTAAATCTGCCGGAAGCCCCGTTTATACCTGGTGCTAACATGGGTCCTTTGTCCTGATCTAGTCTACATTCTGACTGTGCCCACATCTATTCTATCAAAATAATATATATTTATTGTAAGACACATTTTATGTAATCAGTTAATTGTGCCACCTGTCAATGATTTTAGAAGGTGGAATACTGATTGAAATGTTTCTCTGTCCAGATATCCAGACACAGTGACTACCTCTGGAGGAGATCAGGAAGATCTGATCACAACCAGAAATACAATGTGTATTTTATTCATCTACACTTGTCTGAAAATGTGGACACAATCAGAATGTGGACAAGATCAGGACAAAGAATGCAAGTTAGAACCATGTATAAACGGGGATATAGTCAGGCCCTTCTTGGAACCCTGGTTTCATTCAGATCATAGAAATATAATTCACAGAATTCTATGAAACATGTCTAATTCTATGAGGTCTACCAACACACATGAAGTGGAATGCCAGCTTGATTTCCCAATGAAGATCTCTGATCTGAAAAATGAACTCACCACTTCAAGAGTCGGAACCAAGGCCATGAATACAATGTGTCTTATTTGAACTAATAGAGAAAACCCGAAGACAGTATATTTCCTTTTGGGAGCGAAGAGGTTACATAGATCGGACCTCTGTTAAGACACCCGGTGCTCATATTGGGTCATCTAATCTGTTTGGAAGACACTGTGACCGGCTACATCAAAGCATTCCTGCCGGGGAAATGGCACCCTGGGCAGCGCTAAGGTAGAGGCGGTCATAACCCCGATAATAAATTAGAGAAGAGGAGAGAGTGGCAAGCTGCACCTGCATAGCCGGCACGGCATAGCCCACTGACGGCTTCACCACATGTTGGAAGGGAGGCCTGTGTGCATGCTCTGGGTACGGCAGGTCTCAACAATGGAAAAACTGGACAACAAGTTAAGTTACAAACCGCAGTCAAAACACTCTCTGGCTGCTTAAAGGTTACATTGGAATTTAGTAGGCTATAGGCCATGGTCGCTTCATATCCAATTCTTCTTCTCAGTTCTCATGTAGGCCGAATGTTACCCATTTCCCAAAACACACTCCTAATTTGTAATATATGACATCAAAATACATTTAGTATTTTACATTTACATTTTTACATTTTAGTCATTTAGCAGACGCTCTTATCCAGAGCGATTTACAGTTAGTGAGTGAATACATTTTTATTTGTTTATTTGTTTATACTGGCTCCCCGTGGGAATCAAACCCACAACCCTGGCGTTGCAAGCGCCATGCTCTGCCAACTGAGCTACACGGGGCTCAATTTGTGTTTTTTTTTCATAAAAAAAAAAGTCCAACTAATATTTCCCATCTGCACTTTCAGATAAATTATTTAAGCCTAATCTACCAATTTTGTATTAATCAGATCATGTATTATACATAGGCCTAAAAGTGCATGTTTTTTTATTGTAGTGCAGCCTATAACGTATATAGGACTAACCAAGGAAAAATGCTAGAACCTGAAGAAAATGTTAATCTTTAGTTCATCTATAAGAAAATGAACTGTCTTCCAGTTGCCAAAGATTATTTCGTCATCATGTTTCTGTTGTTTAATTATTTTGCACCATTTTAGGCAACGCACAAAAGGAATATGCTTTTTAAATGCAATTGCGTATAGGTTCTGATCTAGACCTTTATGTACAAAAGCCTAATCTTTTTCAAAGGACCCTCATTGCGGGGATGATTGATCAAATACAAGTGTCTCACATATGGCCTTATAGGCTACTGTGGACCCCTAAACAGGCCTAGGCCTATGTAGCTCTTTCCTGCAGTCAAATGACCAAATCGCCCTTTATGGCCTCATGGCTGGAATGTTATTCATATTTTTCATAATTAATATACATTTATTTTCAACTGCCGAAAATCTGGTGTTTCTATGTCAAACGGTTTTGTTCTATTTCAGTCTTATGAAGTTTAATATTGGGATGCAAACTCAAAATTGAATACATTTCAACTCTATATCTGACATCGTACAGGTGTCTTCTTTTTTTAAGCCCATAACCATGTGTGTGAGGTGTATACCTTTGTTTCAAAGTACATTTGTTTAAGACTACCAATAAACACTCTGTGTGACCCTGATTTAGCCCATTGCAGTAAAAGATTAAAACTTTGTCCACCCTATTTTAATGACCAATTCAACATGTTTGTTTCCTTGAATTTTAGTATTCATGGAGGCACCATATTGAAGGAAACAGCTTCAACAACTTTTTATATGGTCCCTAAACATAAAATCACAATTAGTCAAATGTATTGGTCTACAACAGAAGCGTCTGAAACACGCGTAAAATCGATCTCCAAATGAGCCCCCTCTCCCCTGGTTTCTCCCGCGGTCAACTTTGTTCCTTTTGTTCGGTGTCACTTTACAGCATCCCCAACAGATCCCTAACCTAATGGTTCTCATGGGGCTAACCCGTATACATTCCTATAGGATGTCACATTTAAGTCGCAATTTCCATTGAAACACCAGCCATGAATCTGTAGGGTGACATTGTTTTGATTTGTTCTCATTTCGCTGCGTGTCTATCATACTATAACCCCAAGGTCTGTCGGGTGGGGCAGGCAGGCAGTGAGACTTAGTTGTGTTTTGTGTTCTCTAGTCCCGCATGCTGACACCGTGTTTTCACAGACGCGTTTGTTGTGTCCATTTTCTAATCAGGCCAATCTGTACTCTGTCACTTTGTCTCACTAACTCCAGCTGCTCACATTGACAGGGTCGAAACCGTAGGGAGGTGATAGGTAAGGTAACAACCACCTACTTAGCAGGCCTTTTGTATAATATCTAAAGCCCTATATGATGAAATACAAAGTAAACTAGAATAGTCAACCGTGCAACACCAGGTAAAAATATGCCCGTTTGTAAGCACTCATTATTCCACAGCGGTAAGGTATTTATTCACTACAATAGTCATAACAAAGCCAATGTAGGCATTGGTAAAGTCTGAAAGTATTTTGATCATTTTGACAAATGTATTTCATTTTGTAGGCTCCTTTTGTCATACAGGCCTAGCCCTATAGTTATTTTAGGCATATTTTGCATCTGATTTTAATAGGACTATTATTTAGAATTATTCGGAGTATTATTTTAAAACAAATGTACTTTTTTTTTTTACTCCTGGAAATTCTTAATATCCTATGTTGTACTCGAAATGTCAATATAAATGAAAAGCCGTTTTTGTCTTTACGAGCAAATTTGAATAACATTATTAGAGGCCCAAACATAAAAAAAAAACAACCAACAAATAGGAATAAATGCATGCATATTACAGATGTAAACCAGCTAACAGCTGGACACACTGTAGGCTGTATCCCGGAACCGACTAGGTGAAAAGTCTGTCGATGTGCCCTTGAGCAAGGGACTTAATCTTAATTGCTCATGTAAATCGCTCTGTATAAGAGCGTCTGCTAAATGACGTAACGGTCATTGTAACAAAGCCTAAATGCTGTTGAATAATTGAGAATTGAATAGGGCCTAGTTGGGATCTTTCCAACCGACAGTAGGACCATTAAAACAAATTAATCAAATGCTAAAAACATCTATATAAGTTTTATTTTAACTAACCAGGTTTCCATCCAAGCCTTTTCTGCTGGTAAAGTACATGAGGCCTGATGGAAACAGCCATCTGTCGGTAAACTTCCCAAATGTAGACAAAACCAAATATGTTAGACAAGGTTTTTGTGTCAGTAAAATTAACGATGCAACAAATGGCGTGGAAACGCTTTAATGGGCAAACATTGATATAATAACCATCATTTTAAAATAAACTTGGGAGTCACTTGATGATAGTATGTTGTGTGGTCCTCCCACTACGACTCGGGAAAGCATGCGGTTTAGGCTATTAGGTTACATATTAAATAAGTTATGATGAACTTCACAGGGTGAAGAAAATGCACGGTGATGAGCTTGACAAATACAAATAATCTTGCTCTTTTGTCCATAATAATCTAATTATGTAGCGTACCCGCACATAAGTAGCTGTTGTCTAGTAGAGTTGAAAATGAACCCATTTAACTTGTATGTTCTATTCGGTTCAGGGGAATTTAACTACAAAAGTAATTTGTATGTGCACTACCTCACGCACATCATTTTATCCACAACAAGTCAATTTGATGGATATTTGTATGCCTTTTTTTTTTTTATATTCGCATGAAAATCTGGCGCCAATTGGATGGAAACCTTTGTTATGTCAGACAACGCTAATACACTGCATGAATTGATAAGAGCTTCAAGTTCTTAAATTGAATATAAGGCCTGGGCTACAGGCTGTCATTACGCATGAGGCCACCACCAAGCCCTCTATATAAGCTATCTCTCTCTCTGCTCTCCAATGTGTTGAGGAATCATTTCCTCGTTCTGTTTAGATTGTAACTCCACGCCATTACAGCAATTCCATCAAGAAAGAGAACGTCGTGAACAGCCAATAGGGTCGAGGGGTTGAAAACGAGCCAATCACGATGGAATCCCACTCGCACCCAAATTCTTCATAGGGATGGTGCTCCGGCTCGAGCCTGGAAGAAAACCTTGGAGTGGACCAGAGTGACAGACCACGTCAGAACAACGTCTGTATTTGTCGTTGGGACATCTCTCTCTGTTCCGTGGTACATTGAGCAACAATTAAGCAGATTATCAGCGGTGTCTGTCAGTGCGACAAGTTCATCAGTTCAGAGCGCACTGACTAGTGACAAACTGCAGTAAGGAGTGGATGTTGGAAGGAACTTTGAATATTTTCTGGAGGAGCCTGTCTGCATTGAGGTAAGTCTAAATGGTTTACCCATTTATGTTACTCGTTTTTCACACTTCATAGATATGCTGTTATTATTTCTCTGTTTATTGGACATTTATTCAACTGTCAATCCCAGGGCGCACAATCTGGAACACAATTCCGTACTGCTTTTAATTACAGATATATTTTGTTTTATTTCAGACTGTATTGACTGTAGTGAAGCAACCGTCGCGTGAGCCAGAAGCTTGGAGAGAGGACCGTAGCCACGAGGCACCGGGAGACAGACAGCAGACATGATGACGGATATCTCCGGTGCAGAGTTTGAGATCGATGTGGAGAGTCTGGAGACCGAATGCGACGACCAGGACCAGCCGGACTACAGCTCCTCTCTGCCCTGCGCAGGAGACCACGAGCCGGGGGCCAAGATAGATGACAAGCCGGGCACCACCAGCCCCGGGTCCGGTGAACAGCGGAAGCTAAGCCGGACGCCGAAGTGTGCCCGCTGCAGGAACCACGGCGTGGTGTCTTGTCTGAAGGGGCATAAACGGTTCTGCCGCTGGAGGGACTGCCAGTGTGCCAACTGTCTGCTGGTGGTGGAGAGACAGCGGGTCATGGCGGCTCAGGTGGCACTGCGGAGACAACAAGCTACAGAGGTGTGTGTGGATTCTAATAAATTATGTTATTTAATTAAGGTGTGTGGGTGTGTGTTTTTTTATTTTTACTATTATTATTTTAAATCATTCGAGTGGGTGTAAAACTCGTTGGTTTCACAAGCAACTTTTTGGGAACAATGTTGCCAAAACTGTATCTTAAAATCATTTTAATTTCAAATGTATTCCAACTGTCTTCATTGACTACAAACATATGTCATTTTTACATTGTAAAAAGGGCCTAATTTGAAATAATGTCCTGTTTGGATCTTTTGCATTGACATGATCAGGACAGCGAAGTCTAACACAGACTATATTTTTAAACGTTTCGTTTTAGTTTAGTAGAGTTATTTTATTTATTTCCCCACCAAACAAAGTAACAGGCTAGAATGATGAACTCAACTTAATCTAAATAATACATTAATACAAATATTTATATTATAAGTAGCCTCTTGCTATCACTTATCTAATATTTTCTAAACCTTGGGACTGGTATCGAACGCATAATAATGCACGTAGTTATTATTTTGCACATATAATACACGATTAATTATTACTTTTTTTGTTCTGTAATTTTATCAGGATAAAAAGGGAATTTGTGGGAAGCAGATTCCAGCGGAGAGAAGATCTATCTACCAGAGAAACATCAGACCATCAACGATGCTGGCTAAGAGCATTCTGGAAGGTAACACAGTTCTATTGTAGTCTATTCTATTCTATCATTTCCTATTCTATTTCATAATATACAATTCTATCCTATCCTATGCAATTATGTTATTTTGTAAGGCAGGAGACAGGAGACTACTTTGTCGTGTTTTCTAGTAATGGTTTTACTGAATGAACTGGTGTTCATTCTCTCTCTCGCTCTCATTCAGACTTGTTACAATGTCTTTATTTTATAGGTACAGATAGAACTAAGCAGGTAAAATACAATTTTAGATGTTTTGTGAAATGCTTTTAAAGTGGAAAAGGACGATACATAAATAATTGAGCTTATATTCAATACTTTCTATATTTTAACGTAATTTATTTAACCAAATCTGACTGATACCAAACCTGCTTTATTTAACATAATAACATTGATATCTAACCTGCTTTATTGAACCTAATCTGTCTGATATTTATCCTGCTTTATTGAACCTAATCTCATTGATATCTAACCAGCTTTATTTAACCAAATCTCATTGATATCTAACCTGCTTAATTTAACCTAATCTGTCTGATATCTAACCTGATTTATTTAACCTAATCTGATTGATATCTAATTTGCTTTTTTTAACCTAATCTTACTGATATCTAACCTGCTTTATTTAACCTAATCTGAATGATATCTAACCTGTTTTATTTAACCTAATCTGACTGATATCTAACCTGCTTTATTTAACCTAATCTGAATGATATCTAACCTGCTTTATTTAACCTAATCTGAATGATATCTAACGTGTTTTATTTAACCTAATCTGTCTGATATCTAACCTGCTTTATTTAACCTAATCTGACTGATATCTAACCTGCTTTATTAACCTAATCTGACTGATATCTAACCTGCTTTATTTAACCTAATCTGAATGATATCTAACCTGTTTTATTTAACCTAATCTGAATGATATCTAACCTGCTTAATTTAACCTAATCTGTCTGATATCTAACCTGCTTAATTTAACCTAATCTGACTGATATCTAACCTGCTTTATTTAACCTAATCTGACTGATATCTAACCTGCTTTATTTAACCTAAACTGTCTGATATCTAACCTGCTTTATTGAACCTAATCTCATTGATATCTAACCTGCTTTATTGAACCTAATCTCATTGATATCCACCTGCTTAATTTAACCTAATCTGTCTGATATCTAACCTGCTTTATTTAACCTAGTCTCACTTATATCAAATTTGACTGATATCTAACCTGCTTTATTGAACCTAATCTGACTGATACCTAACCTGATTTATTGAACCTAATCTGTCTGGTTTCTAACCTGCTTAATTTAACCTAATCTGATTGATACTGACCCTGCTTTATTTAACCTAATCTGTCTGAAATCTAACCTGCTTTATTTAACCTAATCTGTCTGATATATACATTGCTTTATTTAACCTAATCTAATTGATATCTAACCTGCTTTATTTAACCTAATCTGATTGATATCTAACCTGCTTATTTTTACCTAATCTCAATGATATATAACCTGCTTTATTTAACCTAATCTGACTGATATCTAACCTGCTTTATGTAAATTAATCTGACTGATATCTAATCTGACTGATATCTTATCTTCTTTATTTACTGTAAACTCGTTTATATCTAATCTGACTGATATCTAACCTGCTTTATTTTACCAAATCTGTCTGATATCTAACCTGCTTTATTCAACCTAATCTGACTGATATCTAACCTGCTTTATGTAAATTAATCTGACTGATATCTAACCTGCTTTATTTAACCTAATTTCATTGATATCTAACCTGCTTTGTTTAACCTAATCTCATTGATATCTAATCTGATTGATATCTAACCTGCTTTATTTAACCTAATCTCATTGACACCTAACCGGCTATATTTAACCTAATCTGACTGATATCTAACCAGCTTTATTTAACCTAATCTGTCTGATATCTAACCTGCTTTATTTAACCTAATCTCATTTATATATAACCTGCTTTATCTAACCTTATCTGAGTGATACCTAACCTGCTTTATTTAACGTAATTTGTCTGATATCTAACCGGCTTTATTTAACCTAATCTGACTGATATCTAACCTGCTTTATTTAACATAATCTCATTGAATTGAACATGCTTTATTTAACCTAATCTCATTGATATCTAAACTGCTTTATTTAACCTAATCTCATTGATATCTAAACTGCTTTATTCACCCTAATCGCATTGATAGCTAACCTGCTTTATTTAACATAATCTGATTGATACATCCATAAAAGTAGATAAAAAAAATATCTATCCTATAGGCCTAACCACACCGTAAACCTGCAATAATTTGCATGCAATTACTTTTCTTCTTAACAAACAGTTAACATCAATATAATGAACAGTTATACAAAACCGATCAAGTTTACTTTTAGCAGTTTACTAGAATATATTATATTATTATTATTATTATTATTATTATTATTATTATTATTATTATTAATATTAATATTATTATTATTATTATTATTATTATTATTATTATTATTATTATATATTATTATATTATTATCTCTATGTCATCTAACCTCAGTTGTTCTGTCTCCTCGCAGGGTACCGTCCGGTGCAGGGTGACCCGTACCTGGGGGTCAGCCCCCCTCTCCCGCCCCCCCTCAGCGACAGGATGAGGAAGAGGAGAGCGTTTGCTGACAAAGAGCTGGAGAGGATCATGCTGGAGAGAGAGTACAAGGAGAGAGAGATGCTAGAACCCCCTCAGGCTGCCACAGCCTCTCTGCTCTTCCCCAACAGTCTGGTCCGCCATGCTGCAGAGTACAAGTCCTACAAGACAGCCCCGGAGGAGCCTCACCACAACAACAAGGACCTCTGTCGCTTCCTGTCGCCCAGCTGTGTGGACCTGAAGTACGCTGCCAGCCCCAGCAACATGGAGCTCATCTCCTCCAACGTCTCCGTGGCAACCACCTACCGCCAGTACCCTCTGACCTCTCCGCTGACCTCTCCGCGGGGGTTCATGGTGTGGCCGCGTGGCCCCTCCCTCCTGTACCAGCAGTGCCTGCGCAATGCCACGGCCGTCCAGAACATGAAGCCAGGTGCAGTCTGGGATCCCAGGATGATGACCGCTGCCGCAGAGAGCCTCCCGCCCGACCACGATGCCACGGCAACCACTGCCGTCACTGCCGCCAAACTGGAGGGGTCAAGGGTCGCTGTGGGCCTCCCCGAGGGTTCTGACCCCCAGCAGCAGGACGGCCCCGCCCAGTCCCAGGCCCCTCTCACCCAGGGGGGGCACCGCGAACGATCAGCCTTCTCTCCCCCGAAGAGAGGCTTCGGACAGGCCTTCCCTCCTTGTACACCTCCCCCCCAGCCTCACCCCCAACCTCACCCTCACCCTCCCAGTCATGAACATGTCCTGAACAAGCTGAGCAAGGACAGTGCCAAACACACACTATCCATGAAGCTCAACTCCTTCCACTCACTCATCCAGCAGACATTGAGTGAGAAGGCTAGGGTCGGGGCTGGAGAAAGAGAGAGGGCCGGGGCCGAGGTAGGAGCTGGGGCTGGGGAGAGAGCTGGGACCGGGGCCGGAGTCGAGCTCCGGGGCCCCTACTGTAAAGAACTGCTGGAGGAAGCAGCCAGAAAGTACCGTGAAGGACCTTCTAAGGACTTCTACAGTTTAAAAGGCTCTGATAGATACAGCAAGGAGTTCCTGTCTAAGTCAGCCGGGGCCAAGATCGTGTCCAGCCAGTCTCTGTCCTTCTCTGTGGAGGCCATTCTGAATAGGCCATCACCGGCTATGAACAGAGTTTCACAGTAACGTTATGAACAGAGCTTCACAATAACATTATGAACAGAGCTTCACAATAACATTATGAACAGAGCTTCACAGTAATTACCAGGAACGGACTGGGACCAAAAATCAACCCCGTATTTTTCTATATATTATATTTGATATGAGCATGTTGTAAATCTCTTTATGGTGTAGAGTATTTAAATGTATCACTAATGTGTCAATAAACTTGATAAATAATCAAGCTCTTGTATCAGGTTTGGTGTTTAATTCTTTGGATACATTTGATGTAATGATAATGATTTAATGATAATGATTGAATCATAATGATTTAATCATAATGATTGAATTGTGTTTGAGGTGATGGGATGTGGGTCAACCTTGTCATTGACTATTGGTTATATATTAGACATTAAGATAAAAAAACAAAAACAAAAATTCTCAAGCATTTCTAAGGACTGGATTCAATCCGTAGCACTGAAGTTTAGTGTCACAGCGTGATTGAAATTGAAAGGCAATGTTCCCACGTTCACGGTAAACGCTTTGATAGGGCACTCTGTAACTTTTCAACACTACGGATTGAATACAGCCCAAGTACAAGTGTTTGGAAGTCATTAGAGAGGATTAAAAATACAAATAAAAAAGATGAATGTGTTTTATAGAACACACTGTATGTACAAAAGTATGTGGACGCCCCTTCAAATTAGTGGATTTGGCTATTTCAGCCACACCCGTTGCTGACAGGTGTATAAAATCGATCACACAGCCATGCAATCTCCATAGACAAACATTGGCAGTAGTATGGCCTTACTGAAGAGTTCAGTGACTTCCAACGTGGCACCGTCATAGGATGCCACCTATCCAAAAAGTCAGTTTGTTAAATTTCTGCCTCGGTCAACTGTAAGTGCTGTTATTGTAAAGTAGAAATGTCTAGGAGCAACACTGGCTCAGCCGCGAAGTGGACGGGACTGCTGAGTGCTGAAGCGCGTAGCGCGTGAAAATCGTCTGTCCTCGGTTGCAACACTCACTACCGAATTCCTAACTGCCTCTGGAAGCAACGTCAGCACAAGAACTGTTCGTCATGTTCGGGCTAGGCCCCTTAGTTCCAGTGAAGGGAAATCTTAAAGCTACAGCATACAATGACATTCTAGACGATTCTGTGCTTCCAACTTTGTGGCAAAAGTTTGGGGAAGGCCCTTTCCTGTTTCAGCATGACAATGCCCCGTGCACAAAGCGAAGTCCATACAGAAATGGTTTGTCGAGATTGGTGTGGAAGAACTTGACTGGCCTGCACAGAGCCCTGACCTCAACCTCATCGAACACCTTTGGGATGAATTGGAACGCCAACTGCGTGCCAGGCCTAATCGCCCAACATCAGTGCCCGACCTCACTAATGCTTTTGTGGCTGAATGGAAGCAAGTCCCTGCAGCAATGTCCCAACATCTAGTGGAAAGCCTTCCCAGAAGAGTGGAGGCTGTTATAGCAGCAAAGGGGGGACCAACTCCATATTAATGCCCATGATTTTGGAATGAGATGTTCAACGAGCAGGTGTCCACATACTGCTGGTCATGTAGTGTACCATTCAGGTGGTTCTAGGTAGTTTGTCCTTATTTATAGCAATACTTTTTTCACCTCTTCCACACCAACTTTTCGGAATTCAAAGCTACATGTTTGTCTTTCACTATTTGGTCCGTTATGCATGAATATGAAGGCTCAGCATTTGTTGTTTGCATGTCATGCCTAGATTTGCTAATCTTGTCAACCAAAAAATGATGAAAGTTCTTGAAGTGGTTGGCAATATCAAAGGGTTTTGTTAATTAGCCATCAGCCTCAATGAAGGATGGTTCCAGTTAGCTTTTCTGCCTAGAATTTAAATTAAGGTACTCCTGAGCTTTTTACTATCATTCTTTATATAAGTTATCTTTGTTCCATAGTACACTTTCTTCTTCTTTTTGTTTAGTTTAATTATGTGATTTCTCAGTTTACTGTATGTTTACCAATCTGCTGTGTAGCCAGACTTACTTGCCATTCCCTTAGCCTCATCCCTCTCAGCCATACAGTTTTTCAATTCATAATCTATCCACAGGGATTTGGTCGTTTTAATAACAGTCAGTTTCTTTAAGGGCCTATCAGTAACCGGAAGAAGTTAAATGCTTCAAGTGCAGAGTCAGGATGTAAAGTTGGATAGAAAATATCACGACTGATGGAGACAGATCATTGGTCAGTAAACTTTCCAAATGTCGACAAAACAAAATATGCTAGACAAGGTGGGATCTTTTTGTGAAGAAGAACTTGACTGGCCTGCACAGAGCCCTGACCTCAACCCCATCGAACACCTTTGGGATGAATTGGAACGCCGACTGCGAGCCAGGCCTAATCGCCCAACATCAGTGCCCGACCTCACTAATGCTCTTGTGGCTGAATGGAAGCAAGTCCCCGCAGCAATGTTCCAACATCTAGTGGAAAGCCTTCCCAGAAGAGTGGAGGCTGTGATAGCAGCAAAGGGGGGACCAACTCCATATTAATGCCCATGATTTTGGAATGAGATGTTTGACGAGCAGGTGTCCACATACTAGTGGTCATGTAGTTTATGTTCTCTGTGCTGCAGATGTAATGTCTCTGTCCAGTGGAAATACGATCGGTCCATAAATAATGGACTATATATTTTCTAAAAACATTTTTCTGTCTCTCTGTAAGTCTGATCCACAGCATTCCAGGATAATGTGAAGGCATGAGCCCTGTTTATACCTGGGTCTATTGTCCTAGTCTTGTCCACTTTCTGATTGGGTCCACATTTGTCGACTGATGTAGACAATCAAAAGATGCATTGCAGTCTGTTTGTGATTAGATCTTACTGACCACTTCCAGAGGCAGTCGAAGACGCATGTTGTACTGACAGCCTTGAATCAGATCCCAGATCTTTCCGGTAACACTGTGCTGGGCTGTTAGTTGCTACTTGACTACCTGCCAAATGTTTCATTTTTTAGTTTTAATAACCGTTTAATCAAAACTCTGCATTTAACACATCTTAGTCTTCATATTTTCTTTGCTTGACTTTTTTCATGCAACTTTTTCACCCCGGACGTTTTATCTGGTTCTACAGGACCCTTTATCTGGACATGGTTCTACAGGACCCTTTATCTGGACATGGTTCTACAGGAGGCTTTATCTGGACATGGTTCTACAGGACCCTTTATCTGGACATGGTTCTACAGGACTCTTTATCTGGACATGGTTCTACAGGAGGCTTTATCTGGACATGGGTCTACAGGACCCTTTATCTGGACATGGTTCTACAGGACCTCCACCAGCCGAAACAGCTAAGTAGTAACATTAACCCTATGCCATCTAATTGCAGTCGCTGTACTCCTAATATACAGGAGAACTATCGCCTTATGGTGAGGATAGCAGTGTTGCAAGCCCAGCTTCAGATGCAATCGTTAGGCAAGGGCAATTTGAAACAGCGTCTGTGCCACCAGTAAGAACAGATAGTATTATAAATCCCCCCCACACAGTCCCCGCAGCAGGAACATTTTCTCAAGGCTTCTGGAAAGAAATGCTGTCGGCATGCTCAAACGTTGTAGCTCATTCAGCTGACAGAAACGTTCAACCGGTTCTCTCCATTAAGCAACGAGTCGGAGTCAGAAGCCGAGCCTTCTCAGGTCTCTCCTACACCCATTACCGGGTCTGAGTCGCCGAAGCCTCCCACCATTAGCTCTGACAAATTGAAAACCCTAGTCATTGGCGACTCCATTACCCGCAATATTAGACTTAAAAATAATCATCCAGCAATCATACACTGTTTACCAGGGGGCAGGGCTACCGACGTAAAGGCTAATCTGAAGATGGTGCTGGCTAAGGCAAAATCTGGTGAGTGTAGAGAGTATAGGGATATTGTTATCCACGTTGGCACCAACGATGTTAGGATGAAACAGTCAGAGGTCACCAAGCGCAACATAACTTCAGCGTTTAACTTAGCTAGAAAGATGTGTCGGCATCAAGTAATTGTCTCTGGCCCCCTCCCAGTTAGGGGGAGTGATGAGCTCTACAGCAAAGTCTCACAACTCAATCGCTGGTTGGAAACTGTTTTCTGCCCCTCCCAAAATATAGAATAGATAACTGGCCCTCTTTCTGGGCCTCCCCCACAAACAGGACTAAGCCTGGCCTGCTGAGGAGTGATGGACTTCATCCTAGCTGGAGGGGTGCTACAGGACCAAGCCTGGCCTGCTGAGGAGTGACGGACTCCATCCTAGCTGGAGGGGTGATACAGGACCAAGCCTGGCCTGCTGAGGAGTGATGGACTCCATCCTAGCTGGAGGGGTGCTACAGGACCAAGCCTGGCCTGCTGAGGAGTGATGGACTCCATCCTAGCTGGAGGGGAGCTACAGGACCAAGCCTGGCCTGTTGAGGAGTGATGGACTCCATCCTAGCTGGAGGGGTGCTACAGGACCAAGCCTGGCCTGCTGAGGAGTGATGGGCTCCATCCTAGCTGGAGGGGTGCTACAGGACCAAGCCTGGCCTGTTGAGGAGTGATGGACTCCATCCTAGCTGGAGGGGTGCTACAGGACCAAGCCTGGCCTGCTGAGGAGTGATGGACTCCATCCTAGCTGGAGGGGTGCTACAGGACCAAGCCTGGCCTGCTGAGGAGTGATGGACTCCATCCTAGCTGGAGGGGTGTTACAGGACCAAGCCTGGCCTGCTGAGGAGTGATGGACTCCATCCTAGCTGGAGGGGAGCTCTCATCTTATCTACCAACATAGACAGGGCTCTAACTCCTCTAGCTCCAATGAGACAGGGTGCAGGCCAGGCAGCAGGCTGTTAGCCAGCCCAATGAGACAGGGTGCAGGCCAGGCAGCAGGCTGTTAGCCAGCCCAATGAGACAGGGTGCAGGCCAGGCAGCAGGCTGTTAGCCTCCCCAATGAGACAGGGTGCAGGCCAGGCAGCAGGCTGTTAGCCAGCCTGACAGCTTAGTGGAGTCTGCCACTAGCACAGTCAGTGTAGTCAGCTCAGCTATCTCCATTGAGACC